GATTTTAACTTAAATTTCATTGATAATTGACAGAAATAAATACGTTTTTTTAATACCATATTTAAACGGCATACAGGCACCGTCTTCTTGTTTATAGTGGCCTAAGTGACTATTTAAGCAGGCCACAACTCCATGGTATTTGAGCATCTGCTGCGCATGGATGCAAACCGCGTCAGTGGGCACCGCCAAATAAGGGCCTGTTAGGACATCTGCCAAAATGTCCTTATTCGTAGGCATGTCTATACATAAAAATACACCCTGATATTACGGGTTACTGGCATGCTGCTTGTTTTTGATATCGGATCTATGGTGGTGGGGGGGGGTAGAATCGTTGACTCGAAGAGCTGGATGTCTAAGTTCTTAGAGATAGACTGCATATCATCTCTGTGAGACATTAAAGTCATCCCCGTTTTTCAGCGCCGTGATGGTCGACTGATTATGTATAAGGATGTATTGATAACTAATAAGTTGAATAAATTAAATTAATTTTAATAAACCGAACCATACTTGCTGCTCCCTATTCTATTTTCAGCAGAGGTTTGATGTTGGGCTTGTTTAACGCGTTGCCTCCTTCCTCATATGCAGGGATCGGCATAGTAATCTTGTTCATTTGCATAGTACAGTTTTTCATACTCAGCGGCAGATTACATGTTCTTGCAAGCTCTCTGATTTAATCTGGCGTTCTTAACATAATTTTGACGTTTTTTACGAGAAACTGGTTGCGTACTATCAGTATCGCGTAAGCTTCGCATGCTTTGTTCGTCAATCCATGGTTAGTATTGGCTGTCCGTCATTCAGGACAACTTCAAGTATACCTTTGCTCAATGAGGACACTTAATTGACGGGATTTTGATTGAGCGATTACTTTCATCTATATGAATCAGTGTTGCAGAGGATTCTTCCTCATTACGAAAGGTAAAGCTGATTATTAGTGCTCTTCATTTAAGGCATCAATAGATTATGATATTAAGCTGTTTTATGGCCAAAAACGCTGTGTAGTCTGTGATTTTAGCATAGCTCGATCGTACTCTATATGCAGATGGAGCTCTTTCCTTTGTCGCTTGACGTTTGGCTTCTTGAGCGTAATGCAGG